GCAGACTGGGCTCTGGTTTCAGACAGAGGGTGAAAAGAGGTGCTGCAGCACAGGCAGTATGAGAAGAATAAAGACCTTTTTGAACATTAAAGCATGCGAACAAACAAGCAAAGCAGTGGACTTGCATTGTGGACTCAATGCAAGGGGTCCCCATCTGAAGGGCTCATTCTAAAAAAGTATTGTATTTCATGTCTGCTTATAGAGCTCCCTTAATTCTACACCCTGGACCTTTAACACAAATGTGCTAGTCGAGGAAATTATTGAATTATAGAATTTTCAATTTAGTCACGGATCATTTCAATTTGTCTCATAATTTAAGGCAATCCTTTGTTTTTAATAAGCACTGAAAGGTTGGCCTCTTAGTGGTTTATTTAAGAAACATTTTAAAAGACCCTCGTAGGTTGGTATTAAATTACTTCTCTGGCCCTGGACCACCTCTAATGAGAATCCTGCCAGCCCTCGTCGTGGCTCCTTTGTTTCCTTTTACAGCTAAGGGTAATCTCTTAGAAAAAACGTCACACTTACACACACATGTGCTCACAACCCCTGACTCGGCTCTGTTGCCAGTTATAGCCGCTCAGATTAGTCCCAAATGTTGTGGCTCTGCAGACCAGTTGAAAACTTTGGGCTCCCAGTGTGTACCTCGCCACATACTTCTGCAACTCAAGCAGAAATCTGGACAAATCATTTTGCTGTCTAGAGAATTATTTCACATTGCAAGCAAAACATATTGTACAAGACACACTTTCTTTAGCCCTCCTGTTGTCTTCGGGTCCAATCTGACCGATGTACTACTTTCATCAATCATAACTTTTTTGTTTTACATTTGATTGCATTAAGGCTTTATGATATCCTTCACAGTAGACATTTGAACATATGCAATTGCTGATCACCACTTTCATTGAATTGTGGATGATTTAGTCAACTTTGAAAGAAGAAATAAAGGAATTAGTAAACCATCCGGATCAGATTAAAACCACACACACACACACCACACACAACACAACACCACACACACACACACAACACACACACACACACACACACACACACACACACACACACACACACACCCACACACACACACACACACACACACACACACACACACCCACACACACAGAACAATTTGACACATTTCCCCCCCTTATGTGCCCATCCCCCCACATGGATCACACCTGGCACACACAATACATGTTCAGTGTCTATTCTTTGTATATTTACTGCAGTTTTCATGTATACCAGTAGTCTGATACAATATGTACAGTTTGAAAGGGTGTTAAATGAAATTTGGTGATGATTAATGGTTTTTGTGTTAATGTAATAGCAGTTAAAACAGGACCGGTTTTTGACCGCGAACACCAAAGTAAGGGGGGGGGGGAACAAAGACAACAGGAGGGTTAAACTGTGTGTTTTCCGTTTTGCTCGATTTTGTGTGTGCCTGTTTTATCTGTATATGTGTGTTTGCAGCTATAGGAGCACGTGTGATAATTGTGTCTGTCTCACATTTGTTGACTGATTTGTTTGGGCCATATCTGTTTTTTGAGATAACCACGTAAAACCAGATATGAATATTCCTAATGGCTTTTTAATGTCTTCATAATTTGCCCTTTAAAGGGCTCTAATGGACTGTCCCCATGTTTGCACACGGAGGGGGAACAGTGGATCCGACTCAGGGTTACCTTTGAGCCGGCACTAAAGCAGACAAATGCCTTACACTCTTTCAGAACATCTACACTATGGAAAATACATAAAAGCCTGATATTTTACTCAACACTCAAATCTCCATAGTATTTGGCTGCCAGCTGTGGAATATACCTCGTGTCTGAAAGAGGTTCCCAGGGTTTGTGCTTTAGTGAATCTGAGAGTAGAATGGAGTCTTTCAGGGATAAATACAGGCTGCTTTGTGTGGATTTCCAGACTACAAACCCTGGTTTACACAGAGGGATGTTTGCCTCATTCTAGAAGATGTAGGAGGGTATAACATATCAATAGACTGTTGTCATTGATGATGTTTGAATTTACACAAACACTAACTAGGTTTTCTAAGCCAATATTCATGGTGACATAAAAGAGAAAAATATGACCGATCTAAAATGTGCTTTAAACACCTTTTTGATAAGCTAGTAATTTGGTTATTAAAAATAATTAACACATTTTGGGAAATCCACCTATTCATTTCTTGCTGATCAAAAATAACAAAAAATACCACATATTGAGCTGAGCTTAGTGTAAAGACTGAAAGCAAGATTGGTATCACCATAATGTTGCCAGGCATTGTCAAGCATAGTCTCATATTTAGTCAAAATAAATATTCAGAGGTATGGCCCATTATATAGTATAACCAAAACGATTAGTTTTTACAGCATAAACAAGATATTACAAGTTTAGGAGTGTCTTTTTTATCTTAGGACCGAGCAAGGCTACAGTAGGCTATATGTTTTCACCTATTTATATAAGTGGTAAGCTACTACTATGTTGTACTCATACTGTGCAAATGTGTATGTGTGTGTCTGTTCCACAATTTGGCAATGCGGCAAGGTTGATATACCACAGAGTGTGTGTGTGTGTGTGTGATCGTGAAGCCTGTGATGGGGAGAGTGCAACATATGGAGGTTAATAACCTGTGAGCCTGGCTCTGTTTTATTGGAGGAGTTGTCCTTATGAATAATGTCAGTGCTCTCTGTGTGTGTGCAGGGAAAAAAGCATGTACAATGATAAATGTGTCATTATTAACAGCACATTTAACCTCGCAGCAGTGGCTCTTTTGTTACAGGAGAACATATGTGTTCAATAGCGCTCACTGGCAGGGAAAGTGAGTGAGAGCGGGAGGGGAGAGGTGTGAGCAGAGGTTGATTGCAAAGCCATTTCCAAAGGCTTTGCCACGCTCTGTTAGCTGAAGAGCTCCATTTCAAAGACTATTTGTGTACTGCTGAGCACTTTGGCAAAGAGTGGCCTTGTTTTGAAGAAAGTCTGTGTGCGTTTCAGAAACTTGTGCATGTGTGTGCCTTTTATGCAGGATTTGTGTAAGAGAACCTTGTATGTAATTGTTGCAGCATATGTGTACATTGCAAAGTATCCTTATTAAATTACTGGTTATGTTTACACGGATGCAAGCCTACTTTAATCACCATCCTCCGGCTATCAGCGACTGGCTGAGTGGCTCCATTAGCAGGGTCGTGATCCGTCTTTAGGCATTTTTTCACAAAATTCGCCTACAACAGTTTCTGAGTGGTCATCCATCATCTTCAAATCTCAGCCCTGCAGGAGCTGCTGCTGCAGTCACCTACACATGCATGTGCACAGTCTTTGCTCAGGAAATCTCTATTGGCTATTTTCTAGTTTGCAGGGCACATTTATTACAGATTAGTACAGACCATACAATGGCTTTCTTTCACATAAGAAATACTAGATAAACTCTTAATGCAAATGTTTGGTTTTTGCCCATAACATATTGAGTTTCTGTGGCGTTCTGTCATCAGCAGCATCATCTGAATGAATGCATCACATATTATTCAATTATTTTTTTAAACAAATAAGCATTTTTACAGAACATGGTTAAATCTTTGGACACATACAACCATACCAATACAAGCGCTTTGTAAAATATTCTATATCTCAGAAGAAAAACACTAAAACTATTTGTTTATAGCCCTAGCTGTACGTGAAGGTTTTCTTTTTTGAATTATTTTGAGTACCTGGTGTCCAAGGAAACTCAAAGAGCTGTTATCTTTTCTGAGGGGCAGATGGAATAAGTGAATAATAAATCTATGTGTTGTTTTTTACTCTGTGTAAAGTTAGAGGGATCTGTACAATTGAGTTTCTCAGCAGAGAAGCCTTCAAAAGCACCACTTTAAATTGTGTGTTAACCAGAGATGCGCTCATTTGTTTCTTGGAAATAAGTCATTAAGCATGAAGAAGCATAACATAATGATTACTTCACTAAAGCAATCTTTGTCTACTAAGACCAAAACAACCAATTTGTTGACTATAAAGGGGCCGCCTATAGGGAAGGGTATCGTTTGAAATGTATCGATTCCGATTCCGGTTCTTATCGATTCCCCTTTTCGATTCCAAAATTGTAAAAGAAAGAGGTCAAACGTTTAGATGACAAACATATCTTTATTCTTTTAAGCTTTAACATTTTTACAAATAAAACATATACATGCAATACAAATGTATTGCACACTAGCCGTGCTTTATTTTAACTGAGCTATGCCTGTGGCAAGCTATTAACTTGCCACAGGCATTACACTGTGCCTTTTCTTTTTCTTTTTTAGTGTAGTGGAGCCTCACTTTAGAGCGTTTACCGCGATGCATCTTTGGTGTTATGAAGTGACTGAGCTCGTGAACTGTCTACGGGAGGGCGGGGGAGCCTCGCTGTGGGGCAACTGTGGACCTCTGTCGCCTGTCAGCGCCACTTACATGATGCCGTTTAAAAAAAGTAAGGGTGGTGCGGGCCGTCAGCGAACCGAGCCGGCCGTCAACGGCCCGCTGACGGCCGGCCATTCTGTGATTCTCCAGAACACACAGATGGCCAGTCCGTCCTTACCCTGTATTCCACCGGGTCACCGCGGCGCCGACGGACCCGGTGGAATACAGGGTCTACCGCATTTAGGAACCGTTAAGCAGAACCAAAATTGTGTATTTTGTATGGGTACCCGGTACTTTCTTATCGGTTCTCATGTGAAACAGAGTTTCGGTTCCCAACCCTAGCCGCCTAATTGAAAGCCTGTTGTATTATTTTCCTGGAAGGTATTGTTTTAGAATTCATTGGATTTATACACTGTACGGGACAAATATAGACTATTCAAATATTTGTCCTGCCTGTTGCTGTGACTAACGGAGCTGTCTGTCTGTGCAATGTTTGGAACCTAAACATATGGGACCAAAATAAACTCGAAATAAACTTTTCTGAGAGATAGAGTGCACAGTATAGTTGTTTTTCTGGATGTTTATATAGGCACAGCTTCTTACTTATTTTATTTACTTTTCTCCAGGTATGCTGTTCTGCGAGACCCAGCAGGCTGGCTGAGTGTGAGCCCGGTCACAGGAACTGTCAACACCTCCGGCTCACTGGACCGTGAGTCTCCTTATGTCCACGACAACAAATACACAGCTGTCTTCATCGCCACAGATAACGGTGAGTAACAGATACTACACTGCATGAAAATGATGGAGGATAATCAGACAGTTTTTGATGTGTTTCAGATCGCCTTTATAACCTTACTCCACGTTTCTACTCCACTGATATAATTGAATAAAACCAGTAAAGAAAAGGCTTTAAAATAACTGTTATAGATTGGTTCCTTATTGATATATCCCAGGAAATAACCAGTTGATTCACAAAAAGCAACTTTTAACAAATGTTATGAAGAGTTTGATTGTTAGTAAAGACTATGAAAGCCCTGGAAATAAAAAATAAAACTGCATTAAGTGCTTCTTTCCCTGCTTTTTTAAAAGTGTAAATCGACAACAAACCAAGCACGCTAAGAAAATATGCCATCTCCCCTTCATCTAACACTTAAACAAATAATTGGAGGTGTTGAAATGTGTTAAAAGTATTGCTGCAAAGGCTTTCCAATATAGATTTATTCGCATTTGTATTTTAGAAAGAAATCCTCCTGGGTGATAAGTGCAAACATTACAAATAAATGTGTTTAGTTCACTATTGCAATCCACTCACCCTGCCCGTTAGTTTCACCCATGGCCACAGGGAAACTGTCATTATCCTGTGGTGACAATGGTATGGCCTTAAGTGGCACTGCTTCTAACAGACCATATGCTCACTGGTTAGGAGTGTCATTGGTGCTGCTGCTCTGAGACTTTTCAAGGCACAGATGAAAGTGTCAAGAGCCTCGGCGCCGATCTCTTTTTCTTCTTTGCTTCTCTCTTCCTGTACTAGCTGTCTCTTTGTCCCTCTTTTTCATTGTCTCTCTCCCTCTCCCTATCAATCTATCTGGTCTCCCGTGCTCAGGGAGATTCTGACAGATCCATTAGAGGAACTGAGGGATTCTATTAGTAGGCAGCAGAATAGCACCGTTGTGCTGGGGAATTCGGCAGCCTCAGAAAGATGAGCGTTGAAAGAGGAGTAATGATGGGGCAGGAGGTTGAAGGGTCAAAAGAGGAAGAGAAAGAGAGGGACATGAGAGGCCATAACAGTGAAAATATATAAAGCACGGGAAGTGGGTAAAGAATAGGTGGAGAAGAAGAAGAAGTGGTGAAGATTATGAGTGGACAGGGCAGGGAGTAAGATTGGTGTTGGAGTCAGATGAGGATACAGGGTGAGAAGATAGTGTTCTGCTTCATATTTCTGTAAAACTTTCAAGATATGGGCTGACATTACTATTCCTTTACACAACAGTTTTAACAGAATCATAATGCTAACATTCTGATGCTAGGTACGTTTTATGTTCACCATGTTTACCATTTAGCGTGTTTAGGGTTAGTTTTGCATGTCAGTTTAGCCAGTATTTAGTCATCATGTACAGTGGTTCAATTTTGACCTCAGGATGGCGCTGTATTAAAAGTCTAGAGGGGGAATGTAAATGTTTGTAACAATTGTCATGGCAATCAAATCAATAGCTGTCAAAACATGACTAAAAAACTAAGATATTGCAGGTGCTTAAATAGAAGAAAAAGAAGACGAAACCTTATGTATCCCACTAGCAAATTCTGTTTTTCACTCTGGCTTATATTTTTTTAATACACACACACAGTTTTACACACTATACAAAATACAGGTTGAATAGACATGCACATGCATCTGGAAGGGTGCCAGTCTTGCCGGCACCAGGGAGCAGTTAGGGGTTTGGTGCCTTGCTCAAGGGCTCCTCAGCAATTCCAAGGAGGTGAACTGGCACCTCTCTAGCTACCAGTCCACACTCCTCTTCGGTCCCAAGGCCAAGTCCCGACAGACTGAGCCACTGCTGCCCCAGCCAGTCAAAGCATCCCTACAGTCGATAGGATTCATATCCTTTGGACCAGGAATATCACTTTACAATCAAATGTTATGGCCATCCAATGATTGTTTAGATATTTTAGACTTGTGATAGACCGACACGATGACATTGCCAATCCTTGAGCAAAGCACTATCCTGAGACTATTTATGTCTAACATCTAAAAGGTGATAGATAAGATGTACCTCTGTTGATGCTGTTCCTTGGCCATTATTCTATCTAAAGAGAACCATAAACAATCCTGCACACAGATCTTTAACAACCCACTGAGTTGATGCTCCTGTGTATGCAGTGTGTGTTCACATAGTTTGAATGTGAGCAGAATACTGATATCTGCTTGACCCCTGCCTCGCCTTTATCACAGCACGCTCTGTCATTGACAGGACAAATGTGCTCCTTCGCCGCAGTGATCTGTGCAATGATTGTATGACAACCCACCTGCGTGGACTTCCAACACGATGTCGATTGACCCGAATATCTTTATCTTTATATTTATCTTAATTCAGAGACTTCAGCTTTATACCTATCTAAACTGCGCTGGCAAGCAGGAGGTTGAAAGTGACAGGAGAAATAGACTTGTGTCATACAGAAAGGGAGGGAGGAGGCCAGACATAGTTGAATGTACTTAGGAAGACAATTGGAGAGAAATATTCAAAAAACTGAGAAAGTCTATTGAAACATACTAAGGTAAGGAAATGATAAGTTTTCAACAACAAAACATTATTTTTTAGTACAGGTTTTCCAAGGTTTTTATCATTGCATGTCGTACCACAAAATCATTGTATTTTCCATGGAAGAAAAATAAAATATGCTGCCAGTAACTGTTAGTCTTGTTGTAGTTTTCTACTGTATTTCTTCTTTTTGATGGCCATGTACAGTTTAAGCTTGTTTGACCTCATGTGCTAACCTGAAATAGGAAGTATAATCTTGGTAAATGTATTGCATGGTTAGCAACAGATTGACATAGCCCCTGGTTAACAGCATGAGGGCAGGTCAGCCGGAGCAGGCCTCCAGGCTGTAGCAGATGGTGAACGACGGAGAGAACATACTATTGGGAAGGAGGGAAGTCAGGATCAAGGAAAAGAAAAGTGAAGATGGCGGACAGAAATAGGACAAACATAAGAGAAGGGAATGAGAAAAGGATCCGGTGGTTGAACAACGTGAGGTAACAAGAATGTTTATGTCAAGGTCAGGGGTCATCTCAGCTCGAAAAGCAGTGAGTCTGGAGGTTACACTCGATTGCCAAAGCAATCATCTTCACTTGAAGGAGAGCCAGACAAAGTCATATATCACGCCATGATGTGTTTCGTTGCATACTTGAATGAATGTGTGATTTTGGCTTCGTGTACACAGGGGAGTGTAAATCTGATTATTTGCATGCACTGGTGCTCACCTTCATCCCTGCATCTGTATTTGTGCACATTGTCTCCCTCCACCCATCATGTGTTTCTGTACCTGAGTTAATGACTGAAAAGCTGCAACCCAGTTTTGTCTGGGCAGCGTCACCTGACAGGCCGATGAAGCGGCGCGATATTGTTTGATGAGATATTGTTCCAACCTGAGCAGAGGGCTTGACGGGCTGTTTATATAAACTCTCATCAGTAGCTGCTGGTTTTGCACGCCAACAAATTCTCTTCTGCTCTCTGATTCCCCGCCGGGACGCCAGCTGTTCCCGCATCTTACCCCCTTCTCCTTCCTCGACATTCGTTTTTTATATTCTTTGTCGGCAGATCTGTGTGTTTGTGTGTGTGGGCGGTTTGAAGTTGTGTGTTCATCCATGTTTTTAATGTCTTTGTCCTGGTACACGCAGTGCCTCTCCTGCCTGCCTCTGTGTATCCACTCACTGCTTTGGTTCCATTTTTTATCCTGCTCCTCATTTAAATGTTAAACCGCCTCCTGGTGGGAACCATTTGTCATTGGGAGGCATGAATATATTATCAAAGCCCCAGTTGTCTGAAACACCGCAACGCACATACTCACACACAAGATCTGCAGTGTCTGCTGCCACTGAACTTCCAATAAAACTTTAAAGTTATGCAAAACATAATTAGGCAGGGTTTGCTTTGAACACGTGGACATACAGAGGAAAGACCTTCATTTAGTCCTGACAGTTTGTGCGTGTGTGTGTCTGTATCACACTGAAACAACCTCGACACAGTCGTAGAGAGCTTTGTTAATTACAGGAATGTTAAGTATTGCACACACTCAGACTGAGCCGTTTGATAAGTCTCAGCATTCATCACATGCCCTCTTGTTCAAATCAAAAGCAAAAGGCAATAGGAGAGAGGTTATTCTGAATCATAATGGGTCAGAGAGAAGAATGGCCAGATGGATGCAAAGTTAAACAAAACTGTGTGTTTGCAGCATGTGTCTATCCGCCCATCTCTATGTTATATCTATCTATCTCAAGGTCTGCATAATAGGTTGATAATTTATCCTCTTAAAGGAAAGAATAAGACTGACAGTGGTAGCCGCATGTCAGTAGCTGAGACCCCCCCATGTGAGTGTGCAGGCAGGCATACCTTTCTGTGCCTCTACATGTGTCCATCTTTGTGTACAATGTCCACCACAGCTCTGCCTCATTGCAGAACTAAGTGCTGGGAACCACTGTGCCGCTTATTGACATAATGGGCTGAGTAGTTTTCCTGTTTCAGGCCATCCAAGATACAATGGCTTTACTGCTAAGTGTCTGTCATGTCAGAAGCACACAGCGAGGAAGCCTGGCAGGCTAAATGCAGATAGATAGACTCATGTTGTGTCTTTAGCCAGCTGTGATCAGGCTGCCTCAAACTAAAGCAGTGAAATAATAAAGCATGATGAGCCAGTGTGTCAGCCCAGTGGGCTGAAATCCACGGGCCAAGAATACAACAGAAAATAATCCTTATGCCTCCGAACTGACAAAAGCTGTAGCTTTAGGCATCGTGTTTTCCGGATTTGTCTTCCCATCATTTTCTCGTAAACTCGATATCTCTGAAACGCCTTGAGGGAATGTCTTTCAATGTGGTACAAACACCCACTTGGACTAAAGGATCAATTGGATGTTGGTGGTCAAAGGTCAAGGTCACCGCAACCTCACATATCTCTGTTGCTTTTTAATGTTATATCTCATAAAGGCCTTGAAATAATTATTTTCTGATTGAGCAGAAGCTACTTGTACTTTAGGATGTAGATTTGGTGGTCAAA